GTGGTTACGTTGTAGTGCGATGGATCATATTTTCAAAGTTTTTCAAGTTCAAGTGTCGATGTAGAAGTCAATTTGTTTGTTGGAAGTAGCTTTTCGATTTTTTTATGTAAAATATTGAGAGTATAACCCGTTTAATTCAAAACAGTCATGATAAATAGTCATTGGATTTTCACTGTGACGGTGTAGTGTACATTATACTTTGTAAATAGCTTAAGTTAGACAAACAAACAAACCAGTCTTTCAAACAATCGTTCAGAATTGACACTACATACAAAAGCTATTTTCTTTTAAAACCAGTACCAACTGCAATGACTGAAAAAATGTGGTACTTGTTTGAAATGCAAATACTTCTTGGTTAATGGGAATATACATAATTACTATTTTACACATGTCCATTCATAAAATATTTTTTTTGTCATGAAAGTTTATAGGAATTTGTTTTGAATATATTTATATACTCACAGCATACCAAATATCAATGACCTACCACTAGTGGTTCACCATAAACTAGACCTAATCACAAACTAATATTCTTGGTCCCGCCGACGCCGGAAACAGCATACCAATGTCTCGCTTTTTTACTCCTTCAAGGCGAGACATAAAACTAAAACATGTATTGACGGGGGCATAATTATGTGTAGGGGGAGGGTTGAGATCTCACAAAACATGTTTAACCCCGCCGCATTTTTGCGCTTGTCCTAAGTCAGGGGCCTCGGGCCTTTGTTAGTCTTGTATGTTTTTAATTTTAGCTCATTTATATGTTTTGGAGTTTAGTGAAACGTCCATTTTATTGAACACAATTTTATTTAGGGGCCAGCTGAGGACCACTTCAGGGTGCGGGATTTTCTCGCTGCGTTGAAGACCCATTGGTGGCCTTCGGCTGTTGTCTGCTCTTTGGCATATTCCCAATTTCCATTCTCAATTTTATAAATAATACATGTCCGTATAAGGAAGTGTGCCCGACCTGTTAAATGCAGCTGTTCTATTGATTTGAAAAACGAATGGACGGATCACAGCGATTTAATTATGAATTGTACTTAATTTTTTTAATTTGTGTTTCAGTATCTATCCATGAATAAAATATGTTCACAATACCTTTTATACTAGAATAATTAAACGAGTGCATCCAGTTTAATGGTTATTATTACACTTTTACGGGTTATGTTGGTTGACAATAACCTGTACATTATCTCGTGTTACAGTTGACCAGTTTAGTCTTGTGCACATGATTTATTATTCCAAAACAGATGTATTGTGAACATCTTCTTATATCTATATCATTAAATTCATGGATATATATTGAAACACAGAAACCGAAAAAAAGTGAGTACAATTTCAAAGTGTAAGGAGGCGACCTTTCCTGATTCAGTTGAAATAAGGGAAGGGGTTGCTATGCAAGAGGCTTTTGAAATCAACATGAATAAAATTGCAAATAAACGTTTATGTAGAATTGTCTCAAATGTGAGTCATCAAATAACCAAAAAAAAATAATAGTTGAGACCAAATTCATTGTAATTACCAGCTTAATTTGTAGTAAAAGAATATAGATCCCGTAACTTTTGTTATACGTGTTCAGGTATAACAAAATCTAAAATAAATACCAATGCTACTCGGACTCCAATCAACGTAAATTTTGCACAAAATACCGGATTCATATTCTTCTTGATATTTTCAGGAGTTATTTTTTGTAAGAATGATATTTAAATGTTCACGAAAAATCTGATTGTTGGAGTCTTCGGTGGAAATTCAAATTTGTTCCATGCTAAATAAATATGCAGCCCAGGGGACTAAAATGATTTTTCATGAAGGTCCGGGGTTCTTATTACCAACACAAATAATCTTAGTATAAAAGTTGATCGTTGGTTACTCTACATCACCTCGTACTAATAAATGTTTTCTTATTTTTTGAAGGACCCACAGAACGTTTGTGCAAGAAAAACTATAACTTTTTTTTTCTCGATTACCTGGTGATATCACCTCTGAAAATACTCATTCTGTCAAAAGAAACGTTTTGTTGTGTGTATATAAATATATTCAAAAACACTTTCTATAAACTTTCACGCAAAAACTCTTATTTTATGAATAGACATGTGTAAAAATAGTAATTATGTATACCCCCATTGAGAGGCCCCTGACATACTGTAATTACGTGAAGTCTTTGTTGTCGACAGCTAGTGATACACACGATAACATTTAAATATCATGTGTCCATGTCCACGCTGTTTTGAAATTCATTCTATATGTTTCTTTACTTTATAATATAAAATGTTAGCCAATGTTTTCCGATCATAGGAATATGGACCCATGTTTTTAACAAAGGTAGCTTAGTTGTCGTTGGTTTTTCCTGGCCGTTTTTTTATACACGTTATGGCGTTTTTATATTATATTCGTTGATTTGTTGTTTGTGCTGAAATATAGTTTAATGATACATTAGAAGAACAAAGGAAAAGTAAAGATCATGATGGACTGGATGTGGAGTGTTGCACAGGATAAGGCATTTCAGATTTTAAAGAACCATCTTGTTTCCGCTCCTGAACTTGAATTTGCAGACAATTCGCATCTTTTCGGAATTTTGGGTCCTCAATGCTCTGCAACTTCGTACTTTATCTGGCCTTTTTAACGTTTTGGGCACCAAAACCTGCTGGTCATCACAAATCAATTTACAAGGTATGCCATTTGCTGTACAAACTAAAATCCAACTGCGCAAAACAACAGCTCAAGCTTTCTACGACACTTTCATCGTCTAGTATGGCATCCCAGACAGATGTCTCTCAGATTAAAGTGCAAACTTTCAAAGCAAGCTAATTAAGGAGTTATGTACCATCACAGTCATGAAGAAATCATGAGGAAGTCCATGACTGCTAGTAACAATCCGGTGTGAATTGAAAGACAGAACGGTTCAACCGTACTCCTTTAATGTCCTAGGTTCATTGCAACCATCTAGAAAGTCCGACTGGAAGGCATATATCAATTCACTCGTACATGCAAAACTTCATTGAGTTCTTACTCATGTTTGGAAGGAATCCAAAGCTCCTGATTGATACAGATTTTGGCTTGAGGAAGAATGAAAAGGAGCTTATCACTTACATCAAGGAGCTAAAAGAGCGATCATTTTATTCTAATGAATTGGCAAATGCAGCAGCCGAAAGAGACAGACTTTAACAGCAGGACTCATACAACATCAAAGTACTCATAGGAACTATTCAATTTGGGGACAGAGCATTGATAAAAGTATTCACCGTTGAGGGAAAGCAGATCGTGGGAACATTATCGAACATCCTTATCAACCATCCGAACAGTGATATTCCTGTCTTTACAGTCAAGAAGGAGAATGGTGAAGGCAAAACCAGAACTTTACACAAACCTACTTTAACCTATTGGGTTTATCAGTGACACCCCAAGACCTGTTCCAAGAAAACTCAGGAATACAACAGCACCTACTCCTAGAAACCCAAGGAAGCAACCAACACATGAAAAAGGAAAACAAAAACAGAAGAAAGCGTTACTCCGGAATGATGACTCAGAGGACACTACATCTGACGAAGAATCTAACGGGGTTATGTCAGACTGATTAACCACTGATCACAGATACAGGTTGGGACGCCAAATCTACAATAGACATTACAAATGCCAGTGAAGATTGAGCTCTGAGGATGAAGGAATCGCGCTTCACACCACGATACTGTTCAGGAGGATAAATCTCGGACAGATTCGGAATATTAGTTTCAAACGGTTCTAGTACGTTATTCAACCAGAGAGACCAGCACCCCGGTTTACCACTGGCAAGGGGTGGTATGTGGTAATGTGGAATTTGATATATGTTTAATTATAAATGTGTTTGTATGTTAATGAATTGATTTGAATTGATATTTTGTTAATCAAATGTATTGAAATAAAATAAATTTGATATAATTAGTTACAAATTGAATGGTATGAATATTCTTATACCGACCAGATCACCTGTTTCTCTATATTACCTTGATTTCTGTATTTAAATCTATATCAAGGCTCCACATCTGTTTTGATTTAAGTTGCATATTCTTTTTGGAGGGAATTTGTATTGTTTGGTCACTCTTTTTTCAATTTACTTACTGAGCAGACATATTATTTGGCAAAGTGAGAAATTTCAGTTTCCTGGTAGATTGCTGAATTGCTATATTGCTTTAGTTATTAATAAATCTCGAAGAAACCTCATTTTTTCTCTACAGGTTAATATTTGATGTTTCTACACTGATATATTGTAGATATCAGTATATATTGCTTGGTCTTTAACTTATCATTTGAGGGTTTATGTTTGACGACATTGTTTATAGTTGATTGTCAACAGAGATATTTGATAAAGAACATATATTTACTCGAGTGGTTGTTGTTATCAACGTATTGCCTTTTTTTTATAACCCGGTTTCATAAATTGGTAAACAAGAGGCTGCAAAAATGACAATCAACCGGATTGTTATTACATTTATTAGTGTCATTGTTATATCAATAAAGGGCAATAACTACAGAATAGCAAAATTTAAAATCGTCATTATCAAACATGATCTCTAATTTGTCATCAGTAAAAACATATCGAAAATTTAAAGCATTGGTGGAATAGTTTAAACGTTTCGCATGGAAAAGACAAAGTATTATTTTCCAATCAATCAAGGACCATAACTCCTGAACAATAAAAGTGAAAAGTATTCCATATAGAACTCGACCTCCATTTTCTAATTAGGAACAACATATTAAAATCTAAGTTTTGATTTTGACATTGCTTCTATTGGTAAAGTGTCCACACATTTAAACTATTGTTTTTGTAATCTTAACCTCAAACATTATGTGATCTTTAGATGATTGTGTAGTTAACAATATATAATAGTGCAGACTGTCACAAAGAATTAAACTTATAAATAAGGGAATGCACAATTTAACTATCAAATAATTATAAAATAATTCAAGTTTTTCATAAATCATCAACTACCTTTATCTAAGGTATTTGCATTAAAAGAAAATAAAGCTTTTAAGATGATATATTTTTATTTCTCAACTATTTCTTTAACAATCATTTGAAATCATTGATAACATGTACATAAACATTCACCAAAAATTAACTCCATCATTGAAACAGTTATAATATGCTAGTGTATTGATTGATTGATTGGTTGTTACTTACATACCGTCCTGGTAGTATATTGTCCTTTTCAATCAGATTTTTTACTTCTATTCTAATGGAGTTTTGTAACATGTTATTAGTTATTCAATAAGTAAATCGGTATTATTTTTTACTGTTAGATTAACTATGAGTCCATTTCTTTCTCAGAGACTTAACATTTTAAATATTTATTAGCAATGTCGAGCACTTTTATTGCTGTAGCTTCACGTAAGGTTACAATTCATTTGCCAATTTGTGTTATGCTGAGGCAATATTTTCCATATTTCATTAAACATTTGTGTAAAAGCAGACCTTTTAACATTGTATACTTACTAATGGTAATTGGTGTATTCTGACATTCATGGATTTCAAAAGTTTGAATTAGGAAAAAGCTAAATTGTCAAAATATATACCCAACAAACTGACGGAAAATACATAACAAAATGGTAGTTTTGTTGTGTCATAGATCAAACTGATTCGTTCAGTGTATGTTTACTTGTTTTTGTGTATTGTCTTTTTGATCGAGTTAAGCCATTTCAACTGATATTTTATTGTGTCTTTTTATGTTGTGATGTTATACCTCTGTTTCAGGTTAGGGTGAAGGTTGGCGCCTGTTAATACGTTTAAACCCGCTGCATTTTTATGCACCTGTCCTAAGTCAGGAGCCTGTTGTTCGGTGGTTGTCGTTTGTTGGTGTGGTTCATAAGTGTTTCTCGTTTCTTATATAGATTAGACCGTTGGTTTTCCTGTTTGAATTGTTTTACACTAGTCTTTTTGGGGCCCTTTATAGCTTGCTGCTCGGTGTGAGTCAAGGCTCCGTGTTTAAGGCCGTGCTTTGTCCTATAGTTGTATACTTTTTACACATTGTGACTTGGATGGATAGTTGTCTCATTGGCACTCATACCAAATCTTCTTATTTATAAGTCTTACAAAACCTAAGTGGCGGAGTACCTCACACATATAAAAAATATATATTATGTTACATTTGTACACTTCTTAAAACCTTTTTTGTCTACACAAGTTTTCAATTATTAAATCCGATATCTGTCTTAAACACTAGTATTTAAGATATAATGTCATCAAATGTCGTGTAAGATGTTTGCATGCGATCCTATAAACGTATTTGATTTAAAGACAAAAATGGAAACACTGCGTATATAGTCTCATTTGATGTCAGTTTTACATGTGCAGAACAACTTAACGGAATACTATATGTTCAATTTTTGATTTAAAATGTTACTTTCCAGGTTATTGCTCATAATAATTCTCACACTAGTAATAAAATACGTCACTGAAATGACTATAACGTCATTGCAACATAACACTTTTCTTTTCTCACATCTTTCACTTTTGCAATGAAAATAACTTGAAAACGAAAACGTTATATTAAATGAGAACAATCATAAATGATTTTAAGCTATAATAATAAATTAATACATTATGATTAAGTTTAAGCATACATGACACATATACACATGATTTCTTGTGACATTCGACGAATTTTAGTCTTCTGAAAGGTATACTTAAACTGTATTGAATCTACTTACTGCTCTAGAGTGACACTTTTGAAAGTGATTGAGAATTATGAATGCCCTTCATACAGTACTAATCAATTAGAAGGAATAACGTTTACCTTTAACAACAAATCTTATATACTGGAATTGTTATCACAACGGAATGAAATAAACAAAACACATTACCCGCCTTAATGTTCGTTTGGATAGCACTCGTTTTACGCCAAAAGGAAGTATAAAGCAGTCTTTGGCAAATACTGTTTTCTTCTTTACAGCATTAAGCATCTTCTGTCATTTTCGCCAGAAAAATGATTGAGGTTAAAACTGTTGTAAAAATGTAGAAAAAAAGAAAAAACCTATCCATGATAAATGCAACTTCGTGCCATTCGTCAATATTGTTATGAAGCTCTTGATCTTTTTCTGCATGCTTTTCAAGTTTGCCCAGAACCGTTGACTGTTCTCGAAGGTAACCAGATATTGGGTCTTTATTATGCAATAATAAGTCTCTATTGGTCCTGTTTGAAACGAAGTGGACTTCATTTGTATCACCTTTTGGTACGTGACCATTTCCAATTTTCATCTCCTAGAAAATTATAAAGACATAATAATGAAGACATGTTTTCTTTTATGAAATAGCATGTTTTCTGTTGTTTGCTTTATCTGATACATAGCTGTCTCTGACGTAATTACCACATGCATTCGTTTCTGTGGATTTATTGAGATCGGTAGAGATCGGTAGAGAAATGCGATTTTTATCATTTCCTTGCAAACCTAGTATTGATATGCTATGATCAGTTTGTTGTGATCAAATGCAAAAAATACATTTGACCTTGAATAATTTGGTGCTGAATAGTGTAAAACGTCAACGTTCCCCTCGTTTTGAGTTTATCTTGAAGTACGGTATTTTGTTAATACTTTTTCCGCTGAAAATATAGGATAACACCAGAAGACATTTAGGTTTTGGGTTTTCGGGAATCATGTTTATAATAAACCACATTTTAGTCAAAGTTGCTTTTGTGGATCGCTTAAAGTATAGCCCTGGATCTGTGATTGATTGTGTTTGACTGATGTTAATTTGCTACAATAATATTTTATACTTTTTAATTTGATTTGGTATGTTTCTGTATATATCGATATAACTTTTTTACTATGAGTCGTTGTCTTTCGGTAGCATATTTTACGAATACAAAGGGGTAGCATTCAGGAATTTCGAAAAATAAGTGTATGACTATTCAATTTATAAGTCTATTTATATTATTTAGTTAAGATAATAATTTTTGAGATTTTTACTAATTCAATTGATAATTTTTTTTAATCTATTTTTTATCCAATTAATTGAAGTGTTTAGTGTCTTAAATTTTTATATTTGATTTGATTATGTGTGCTTTTAAATGTATTTTTTACTTTGCATAATTTTTGTATATGTTTTAACATATTAAGCGCTTGAGAGTAATTGTATATAATGCGCTTTAAAAATGCTTTGTAATAATAGTGATAATTTATTCAACTAAAAAATACTCCGAGACAAATAATATTCCGAAGACTAGACTTTCTGGTCATTTGTTTGTAGAATTCGAAAGATATGAGTTTTAAAAGACAACCAGAATTCTATTTGACACCAATTGAAATGTAGTATACACTTCATTGAAACTCTTTTTCAAGTAAAAAATTAAAAGTTTTGAATTTTAACTCCACTTCATAGATGATTTCTTTTTAGATCATACACATTTTTTCCTCGAGTTTATTGATGTTTAGATAAACCATTAAACTAAAAAACTTACACAAAAGTTATAATCAAAAGTGGATCGATGTGTCAGCTGGACCAATTCATTCATAAACATTGGTATACAGAATTTACAACAAATGTGGTGATTTCAATTTAATTTTATGAGTAGTACTGTTATGTAAAGTGTTCACATTTCAGTTAAGTATATTGTTAGTTCACTGTTCAAGCTCTGGTGTTAAAAGAGTTGACTTCCTTGACAGATCGAACAGTCTATATGCCATTCTGACGGATGACGCATGCGTGGCAGGATAGTCAAATCCTTTCGGAGCGATTTTATGGTGTTAAAATAACATCGTCCATGCTCTTTTCGGTGATTTAATCTGTTTGTTTATGCGTATTTCTCTGTAATTGTTATTTGGTCTTTAATCCCTTTAGGTTTGTTCGTTTTGATTTTTTTTCAGTATTTCAGATTTGCTACTTTTCTAGCTATAGTCTCTTCGTCCGTTTATTTAAGGCAAATTATATGTAAATGAGGTGATGTTATGATATTATTGTAACAAATATACCTCTTTGATGTTTTCTGGTGACACCTGTGCTGAATTATTGCTGGATTGTCTATGTGATTTATAAAATCTATGAGTATTTTTCTCGCTACATACAAGCACACCTAGTCTATTTATAATAAGTTTTCGAACCCACGTTGGAACCTTTCGACCATTTTCACCACGATAATGTAGGTTTAATACCATTACCGTCATAAAACATGACAGGGCTACTAGCGTCATCGACGAAGCAAAATACATCCCTGAAAAACACACGATTACTATAAAACATGTTATTACAACTGGATCAGTACACAAGATTACTATAAAACATGTTATTACAACTGGATCAGTACACAAGATTACTATAAAACATGTTATTACAACTGGATCAGTACACAAGATTACTATAAAACATGTTATTACAACTGGATCAGTACACAAGATTACCATAAAACATGTTATTACAACTGGATCAGTACTAAAATAATAATAATGAAAAAAATATATGATATTTTCTGTTTCAACAGAAATTGAGCATGTATGCAGTATATTAAAAACATTTTTTTTTATAATACATACGTGAAAATATTAATAAAACATATATTTGTTCAAGTTTTTGTAATGTTTTCTGGCTCATAAATGAGATTGAGTAAAAACCATAGTTGCTATTAACATCATAAACGTGTCTACGTGTATATAATGGGAATACAGACGGGGAAAAATTGTGGTCAAATAATACACATAGTAGTTTGACATAAACCAATTCTTTGAAAAACTAATCGGGATCATGTATACGTCTAAAAATCGATAAATGCCATCATAAAATTAGTATACAATTATAAAAGAAGATAAAGATAATGATTTAACAAGGTAAATTCAAAAATTGAAAGTCGAGGAATTGCAGATTATACAATGACCAAATACAATTAAAACAGAAAAACACATTATTATCAAATAATTACAAAGAAAACTAAAGATTGAGTAATACGAACCCCGATTTAAAATAGGTTGAACGTTTTGGAAGGGTAAAAAGTTTCGGGGTAACTAATGTTACCCGTCGTCTTGGTAATGACAAGTAAAACATTGGTAATATGCCGTATTCGGTGACTAGTCAAGAACAAGGAAGAAAACAAAACCCAAACTTTAGCTACGTCAATGTAATATATCTGTGACTCAGATATTCCATTACGTTTAGCAGTATCTTCCTTGAAAGTAAATTCTCTATGTTTTAGAAAATTCTGAAACAAGTCCTACAATATCTTACATGTATCACCTATGTTATATGTACTAGTATTTAATATGTAAATTCCAGTTGTCACAAAAACAAAAATGCGTTGTGCAAAAAATCTCACATGTCGTAAAATTAAGTTTTAAAGCGACACTCAATGCCAAAGAGAGAGAGAGAGAGAGAGAGAGAGAGAGAGAGAGAGCTTCTGCAGACAAGATGGACAATCCTTAAAAATACTAAATTTTGAAGACCTTGAGCATATTATATCGATGGGAACTATTTACTGTGTTTGACCATGGAAGTATCATATTGACGGATCAAAGAGTGCCTCCTGAGCCGAAAAGCATTTGATGATGTCTACAAATTATGTTAATGGTGTTTTGAATTCGAATACTATAAAATAATTCTACAAATCAAGGATTGAAAACACTTAATATTTTCCGTGTCCTTTTTCGCCAATTATTTAAAAGCTAATGTTCTAGCGCTGATTATAAGGTCATATGCAAGGCTAGCTGGTTTTTTTTCTGAAATGAGATGTTGGGTTTAACGTCAGAGAGACAGTAACCCTACATCATTACTTATAATAAAAAAAAATATATATACATATATTTGCTTAAGTATTCATTATGATAGTTTAAAAGCAAGCTAGTTATAAAACATGCATTTCCAAATTAACAGCATGCTTTATAGTAATTTATGTATTTGAAATAATCGCGTTGAAGACAGAAATACAATTCTGAATAATTTCTCTATCGTTTTTCACGCAACAAATTAAGCTAGTGAATATACGTATACGATGTCACAAGATTCATTTTGAAAAATACAACAAAATTTTTCGCAAAAAGAAGTACACATAGAAGACCATTTAATTAATTAAATTTCATACTCTTTATAGCTATGCTGGAGGTTCCATTGTCATGCACATATATATGTGTACAACGACAAATCATTAAAACAAAAATCATAAAAAAACATTATTATAAATATATATTTCGGATAACAAATCTTTTTTTTTCCAGTATCAATAGACTGTTGTATAATGACGACTAATCGTTAGAAATCCTGAACATCATACCAACTACATGTAGATATTTATTAGAATATATTCCAAAAATGTATCAATACATTTGTACATCTCTAAAATCCACTGAATATGAACTACCGCATTGTTATATTTAAAAAGACATCTTCGACATCCGGGAATTCGATTTCAACCCCCAAGACGAATTTTATTTCAGTAAACTATAATTTATGGATGTTTGCATTATATTTTCTTTACACAATATTTCATTGTGTTATCTGTGCTATTTTGATTCAAATCTGCTAAAATGAAATAGTGGTTTGACCCCTGACGTCAACATATATCTATAATATCTAAAGACTGCTGATATTCATAATAAACCTTTTTGAATATTTCTAACAATAGATAAAAGTCAGATTAGAGACTAAAGACGATTAATAAATGATAAATTAGAACTCACCGCATACTAAGTGGAAATAATGTTTGCATTAATAAAATTCATAATCAGATTACAAATTATAATCCATTGTGATAAATGAAATTCTGTTAAATATAACTTTAAACTTTACTGTATGTATACCTAATTAATAATTTTATTTCAACCGATATTTGTCTGAAGATAACAATTAAGACCATGTTTGATTTACAAATATTATTTTCAAGAAATGTGTAAAAGAGAGGCGGAAATTACCAAAAGGATATTCAAACTCATAAGTCAATGAAAAACTGACAACGCCTTGGCAAAAGATGATCAAAAGACAAACAACAGTATACAAAACACAAAATAGAAAACTAAAGACTGAGCAACACAAACACCACCAAAAACCTATAGTGATATCAGATGCTCCGGAAGGGTAAGCAGATCCTGCTCCACATGTGGCTCCCGTGTAATCTGATTATAAATTTTATTAATTTACTCCAATCTAAACCCATTTTTTGAAAATATTATGGTATGAATAAGGACTTTCGTAGTGATCGATGTATGGGAAATCAAAATGGTGCTTTTTTGGCAAATTTAAAATAGATGTGTTGGTGGTAACAATTTGTAAACTGGTCATTCAAAAATAAGATTCTCCAAGTAATTTTCTCTTGTAAAGGAGTATTATGAAAACAACAATTAATTAATCTGTAATGAAGCTTTAATTACAGTTTTGTTTTCGTTTCCGATCATTGATCTTGAAGTGTAGATGTAAAAGAGGGTATGTTTGAGGTAACGGTAGTATACTGATGTTAATATACAGATCAAAACAAATAAAAGGAAGGAATTGGATTAACTTCAAACGGAGCAAGATCGGGTGCGTCGAGAGGGCAAGCTTTGCGTTTAACACCTGTCATGCGAATCAATATTTAGTCAAAAAATCATAATAGGGAATACGACATTATCAGTAAATTCACAAATCAGACGATTATTCTAATATCTAATAATCTAAGACCTCGCAAACATGTCGCTTGTGAGTTGAGACAAATACACATCATATCTGTCGACCAATTCGTGATGGTGACCGTATATAGGATGACATTAGTAACAATATGCTTACCTATATATGGGTAGGTATCCGAAGATGCCGGTAACTGTTCGGAAACCATTAACAGGAATACAGCTAGAGATAATAGTACAGTCACACCAAGTGACACTTTCTCCCCAGACTCTGGGGGTAAGATAAATGTTAACGCAGCAACTGATGCAGTTAGGATACAAGGAAACAGAACTGTTAATACATAAAATTGGGATTTTCTCTTGAGTGTAAGATAAAAGGTAACATCTGGATATGGTTCGGGACAACAGTTGTATTGAAGAACATGTCGGATAACAGGGAAAGCTGCAATATCCCATTCATTGTGTTCGATGTACGTAGCGAGATCACCTGCAATTAAAATAATAGATTTGCATAAGAATTTGATATTAAGATAATTCCATTACTTGCTATAAGTTATAATAAATAGTTATCTTGATTTAAGAATTTTAATGTAAATTTTGTGCAAATAGGTATGTTTTTTTCGCCATAAATTATGACCGACAATATTCGAATTTCAATTTAGGCATTTTAATTTATATCATTTTCTCGGTGGGATTTAAATTAAAACTGCATATACTGTCAAACGCGTTAGACAACTCGGTCAACTACATTAATGTGTAAAAATATAGCTTTCGTGTTCGAATAACGCCTTTCCCAATATGCTTAATCTATTATTGTAATATAGTGCATGCTGTATAGTGGTTTGAATATAAGTTCATCTGAGTTTATAGCAATATTTCCTAAAGGATGACATAGCTACTTGTCAAACAGTCACAACAATTATCGTTTTTTATATAAAATACAAATGTTTTTGTATTAAAACTCTTTCTAAGAGTACGATATGAATTTGCAAGTGTATTTATACAGTTCTAACATTGTTGGGTTGAATTCAAGAAGAATCAAAGTACTGAAGTACTGACATCGGATGACCGCAAGTTCTGGTGGATGGTCACAAGCACTTGTCTCAGAAAAAAATCACATCTCTATACCTGAAAGTTAGGTTAAGGTACATAGATATAGTTTTTCTGAGACAAGTTCCTGTGTGGATGATGAATAAATGACAGGGAATTCAACCTCACCGTAATAATTATTATATTGTAATGATATAATCATTTGTTATCAGTATACTCTGGTTTGTTGTTATATATTATATTAATATTTGTATACCAGTCATATATATATAGCAGATCATCTTAATAACGCTACAGGCAAATCTTAATCCATTTATATATCATTCTATTTTACTATTCTAATGATAGTGCAGTGCAATTGCATGGTGGACACTCTTCTGTGATAATTCATTTTTCTAATAGATTGGATTTGAGTAGGCATTCATATTTTCACGCTTTTGTTGCCAAATGTTCTTGAGATATTCTTCCGCATGCGTTAACACAAATTTTCGGGATCCATGATTTGTTATTGATATATATATTTCTCACGACAAAACATTTTCATAAATTTATCTATGTTCTTAAAAATTATTTTCATGAATATTTATTGATGAAATTAATATATAACAAGCGATAATGAATGTTATTTTGCACTCGATAATATCCGCGTAATTATACGAAATACGTTCGGTTATCAGTCAAACGGCAAGGAAATTTCTGCGGCAGCATAACACCAGTATGACCTCTGAATGTCACATCCGATGTAAAAAGGGATAAATATAGCGCAAGTCCTATATAGCCGTTGCCTCGACTATCCAATGGGTAAAATGCCATAAAGTTATTTTAAGTAAAAATACAAATAATGTTTATGTAACAGTATATTTAATTTGTTACTCTTTATAATATATTTAAAAAACTTTGTTTCATGTTGATATTTCTTTAACTTGCCAAACAAAATTTCGTCAAGCCACCAAACTTAGCTTAATAAATATACTAGTGTACAGGAAAATAGTATTTGTCTATTCTCTATTTCTTTTTGTCTTTGAACACAATTGTAAACTTAACTGCAGAATTAATTCTTAACCGAGAGAGAGAAAAAAAAACCAATTTCCACAAAGATATTTGTCAAAACATTTTGGGAAATAAGGATTTTTTTTATGTTTCGAATGTTTAAACACTTTTATTTTAAATCTATATTGATGTTGATATAAATTATGATTTTTTTTTTAACAAGATGAGAATTCGTTGAATAGAATAATCAAACCAAGCTTTGACATATTAAAGATTAAAAATGAGGTAGATTATACCAAAGGGACAATACAAAACAGTCGAAGAAAAACAGACAATACCATGACATAAAAGATAAACAAATGTACAAAATATACCTTCAGTTGCCGAGTTCACGACATCCATTTCAAATCCATGATGGGACCACGACCCGAACGTCAGCTTACAAATCTGTGTGTCAAAGGGGAAGTATGTTACATCGATCCGACAAACACTTTTCAAAACTGTTGGAAAATTATATGAAACAGATCCATCAGAAGAAATTGTAGCTCTGTAATTTTCTCTCCCCGGCATCATGACTTCGTCGGCCGCACTGTAAAATTAATGAGATGAACATGAGTAGAGTATGGAGAGGGTGTTATGATATTTGGCAATATATATAAAACAACGTACTTTCAAATGCAATAATATTATTATTAAACGACAGGACAAGTGGAAGAAAGATAATCCAGATTTTTAAATGAAAACTTCTAATTTCCAATCCCAGTGAAACCTAGTTGTGCTAATATTTTACAAGGAACAACATAAAATAAAACACAATGAATATTATAAAACTTGAAAAATGTACATGAATAATCTGGTTTGCTTTCTATGTTGTATCATAACATCAGACTATTTTCAATCGCAGGTCTTGCTTAAACACAGTGTTTTAGCAGCTTGTCTGTCAATTCTAATTGATTTATCTACGTCTACAGTTTCAATATACAAAAGCATACGTACAAAAGTACACAAAAATATACGTATTACAATATACACTTACGACCGTAAAGAATTTCTAACATTGAGTGAAAGTCTAAAGTAACACGAACCTTATTGGAAAAACTTACAGCCTGCAGAAAAATTAAAACGTATATAGAAATACTTTTAAACAAGCAAAAAAACACACTCGTCGTGAACATTTCACATACACATATGTTTATGGCACGAGGTTGCAAGTGTAACTGCTATTCTACGAGGAAAACATGCACCAATAAGCGTGGACTTACCCTATAGTGTATGAACAATTATCTTTAATGACAAACACATCTTTATATTATTTAATTACTTAAACACTGTCATTTTAAGCCATTTTTCAATGCATTCAAAACTTGGAATATTCTCGCAAATTTTATATAATTACTTTTAAGGGAATATTACATTGCTTTATAAATATGATATATATTGTTTTAATATTTCAGTTTTATATTACTTTTGTACATGTTTAACTTTGGTCACTATTAAAGAAATATATTCAACAATTCTTGTCTCTTATCTTAACCATTTATAACTGAAAATTTTGAGTATATGTCAATCAGAGAAATCAATGATCAGAAGAAATACTGTCTTAAATAATACAAATGCTTTTCCGAAAATCTAGCTCTAAATCGCCAAGTCTAGATAATTCATGAATAAGTTTAAAAGCGACTATCAAAGACCTGCAATAAATTCCCTAAAGGACGAAAAAACATGTATTACACAAACCACAAATACTAACGATGTTCCTGGCCTTGAACACGCTAATGAACATTGGATGTGGACTACCTTTACCAATCTATTCACGAAATCATTAAGATTTATTAGGTGACATATAGTTTATTCACGTCATTCAGGTTTTTTGTGTTTTTGTCTTTTTTTATCTGCTTGCTTGATTAGTATTAATTGGTGCTTTGTATTTTATGTTTTATGGTTTTTTTTTGTTTTTTTTTTAATGTGAAGCGCTTAGAGTAATTCTTATTATTATATAACGCGCTCTATAAATATTGTATTCATTTATTTATTATTGACTATGGTGGATAGTTGTCTCATTGGCAATCATACCACGCCTTCTTATTATTTTTATACAATAAATTATAAGAATGTGTTCTGTATTTCATGCATGTTACTGAAAGGTTGCATATTTATTAAAGTATTTTGAATAGTTCTATTGTACCTGTCGTATAATGTTATATCTGGTACCCAAACTGAGGTATACGGAAGATTCAAACTCGATATTCCATCGTAATCGGATGCATTCCATTGAAATCGACAGTCATTCCATTTCTAAAACAATAACAAAGAGAGCTTATATTGATGTATAAGTCACGTATGTGCATATATAGAATAAACATAAATATATACGGTAGATTAAATAAAGGTACAAATGGCAACAGATCAAACATCAAGTTGTAGCCGTATTTCGTGTATGTGATTGTCATATTGACCATCCTGTTGCTCTTAAACTATAAATAAGTCGGACTAATTTCCACTGTATATGTTTCAATTGCAGAGTTAATATCAGAATGCTGATGATACCTAACGTTATCAATGTGGGGTGAAAATTCTAAACGATCTAAAGGTCCAATACTACTGTTCTACCTAATATACGATTAACACTATCAAAAAGTGTGAATTAACTTTACCGAACAAAAGGGCGAAAAGAAAACTTCGGTCTGTATTTCAATTTTTTTTTAAAAGAATCTAAATTAAAAATTAAATGAGTTTTGAGTGGATTAAAACGTTAAGGGCACGTTAAATTTTTATGAAAATTTTAAACGCTTTTTTTTCAAATTTAAGGTAAAATGTACTTCGTAATATATTGCAATTTTTTTCTGTTCCTTTAAAAAAAAAATTACAAACCATGTTTCAAGTCTGCTTAACAGTGGATTAGGTTGTATAATTAAAACTCGCAATAGTATTAGTAATACTCAAAAGTGTTCAATAAGCCAAGTATGGCATTGAGTACGTCTGTGTTTTGGAAGGTTTACATAAACACGAAGAGGTATGATAAGAACAATAATTATCTGATCACTGATATACCAAAAGTGGCAAACTTCTACGATCTTTTAGAAATTATGTTATTTCTATTGAGAAATGAAAAGGATGATATAATCTGGGTACTTTAATTTAAGCATACAGTAGTTCAACGGTGTTTAAATATCGTCAATCAATTAGGATGAAACAGATCAAGGAAACAATACAAAACAGAGGGAATCGTATGAACTCCAAAAAGGAGCGAGACCGGGTGATCGTTTCCTGCTATGCATGAATCACCCGTCATGCGAATTCACACTCAGTCAAAATATCACACTCGGGAATAGGACATAATAGGATAATAAATCTTTTTCAGTAAGGTCTTGGCTCATCTCTAAATTTTAGATGTAACGATAATTTTATATACCATATTGAGGCTATTTCAACAGTTTTTGCAATCTTAAAATTGAGAATGGAAATGGGGAATGTGTCAAAGAGACAACAACCCTACCATAGAGCAGAATACGATACTTGGAAACTTAAAATAAATGACAAGTTTTAGCTCTGTTAAGAGGCTGCCACCAAATAATGTCTGTTCCAATTACTATTGACTGTCCTTGCAATTCACAATTTCATGAAAAGAAAATCTGTGTTCCCCTTTTCATCCATCCTAACATATACCAATGTGATTTTGATATGTGTGACAGTAAGTACGTAGTTAAGGACCCAATACTACTTTTAGTCTGATTGTATTGCTACAAGTAGTATAGGTCAGATAAGAACGAGGAACCACTTCTTATTTATATTCTGAATCGGTTTTTGAAATAATCTAATTGCACATGTGTTTTATAAGATCTAGATGGACCAATAACAAATAGTAAGATGTATTCGATAGATGTCTCAAAACTAGTCGATGCAGGCTATGTAATTCCTAGCAATTTTTTATATGTTTTTTAACAGTGTTTGTAAAATAAACTTACTGCATTTTCTATGATAAGTGGTTTGCTTAAGCTTGTAAAACTATATTAAAGACACATGTTTGTATTTCAGCAACATTTTTGTATGATCGCACAAGACTATCGTAAGTTAGCCGCCGTAAGCCGCCGTAAGCTTTAAACGAGAAACCCATGCACATTTTTGTCTGGACGGGCTACCAGATTTCGTTTTTGGCTGGTGAGGCTACTAGTAAAGTTTAAAATTATTAAAAGATGTAGTGATGAAGAATAATTTTAATGACCAATATTAAGGAACTTGTCAAGTGAGCATTACTTGCTCTTAGAAGCTTTTAAAACATGAGAGAAGATACCAAGGGCACATATAAGGCAAAACTTGTAAGTTCCGAAATACACACATCCTTCAAAGAAAATTATCCTTGATATTTTGAGCATTAATTGAGATTGATATAAAAGTTGGGAAATTTCCATATGTTTACCTGCCTGTATTAGAAGCGTTAGTGTAATTGACATTAATTTGCTTTCTGTCCTTTTTCCTGGCGTTATATAAACTCAAGATACTATCCACAAAGCTTCGGGCACCTTTTATCTGTATGAAAGTGTTGAACTATACTTTCGTGTATCCCATTTATCAAACCTCATTAATAGCATCCCCTATAAACACAAGCACCTACTTCTATTCCAGTCAATCTGCAATTAAAATAGCCCAACCTTAAACAAATTGCAACAAAGAAATTTGGTCTCATTTTGGCAGTCATAATTATGATAACATAAAAGCAATAATCTATTCTGTTGCAATCAGTTTAACGTTTTTCATAGATTGCCTGGACTATTCATGTATGTAACTTTTGAGAAAGACGTTAAATCTGTCATTAGCGGCTTGAAATGTATCAAGAATCTGTATAAAGACACTTGCACACCATAGCTATCATGCACAGGTGATTACGCACTTTGATGCTGCTTTCAGTAATTTCCAGTAATTTGATACTTTTTGATTATCAATGGATCTTGAGGTTTGTTAGTTTTCATTCTTTATTGATTAGTTTGTAAAGAAACTTCTAAATTACAGGATATTACGTATTGGAATCATGACAAAGGAAATTCTCTAGCTGTCATATAATGGGAGCGTGTTCACAAAATGTTTAGTTGATGCAATGTCAGTGAACCACAAGATCGGCATATAATATTTATCTAAAATTATTTAGAATATATTTTTATTTATGAATTTTTTTAAATTCGGAAGATCAACTTAGTTAGGTGAACCTTAGCTTTTACAAAATTCTTATAATTGATGAAAATCTATTTAATATAAAAATAAGGAGATGTGGTATGATTGCCAATGAGACAACTATCCACCAAAGTTCAAATGGAGTGGATGTAAGCAATTATAGGCAACCGTACGGCCTTCAATAATGAGAAAAACCCACACCGTAAGGTCGGCTATAAAAGACCCCGACATGAAAAATATGAAACAATTCAACTGAGAAAACTAACGGCCTAATTTAAAACAAAACAATTTACGAAAAACAAATATGACAGACATGAAACAACGACAACCACTGAACTACAGGCTCCTGACTTGGGACAGGCACATAAAGAATGTGGCGGGGTTAAACATGTTTGTGAGCGCTCAACCCTCTCCCTAACCTGGGACAGTGGTGTAACAGTACAACATAAGAACAAAATATAAAAATCAGTTGAAAAGGCTCAACTCATCAGATGGATACAAATAGGAATACATCTAACAAAAACACAGAGTAGACGTGGACGGGTACTTGTACATCCCCACAACAAAAATACAATAAGTACAGATTTGAGATTACTCGCAGTTACTGACAGCTAGTTCAAAGCCAATAACCTTGTCACAAGTTCGTTTATCTATCACGGCAACTCGTTCATGAAATATTTGCCACTGGACGCTAGACAATCAACAATCAATCATTCAACGGCAAGTTAGGAACAATGTCGGTGGTCGTCTTTTATTATATCTGAAAGTCGTTTTTGTTTAGGAAATTTGGTACTGATGGCAGATCTTTGACAGTCTTTGTTAAATCTATCCACAACTGTTCTAAGACGATAAGGATGATTGTTAAATCTATCCACAACTTCTCTAGACTATAATGATGATTTTTGAGCGTGACATTTGTTGTATTTTGACCTTAAGATGTGTAGTTTTTTTTGTGTCTTTGGATTGCTGTCAAATTTCGTAAACCAAACATGACTGTCCTTTTATTCATTTAAAATTGAAAAAAAAAATGTAATTCAACCCCACGAAAAGGCGTGATTTTAATATTCCTATTTGATACAATGAATAAATAATATAAGTTAAAATTTTCTATCAATGCATTTTACCCTACAGCACAAAATGAAAGTGTCGGAACATTTGTGATTGTAAAAGGATAAATCCTTTAAGTTTCGTTTATAAAATACCCAATTAAATTCCAATAAAATGTTAAGTCTATAAAACGAACATCTTTATTCAGTTGAACCCATTTAATCAGGCAATCGTTTCAAAATAAATACAAATTTCAATACACATCTAAAGGATATCTAGAGGCACAAAAATCTATTTCAATAAATGTGCCAAAGCCAATTACATCCATATATATACATCAATTATGCATCTTTATATTAAAAATTATGTTTATTACTATTTTGACTTTTGTACAAATTTAAAAATGGTCAATATGCTAAAATAAGTTTCAAAATTACAGAATTCGGAGCACAATTGGTATAAAGCCGAGTTGCGATTTTTAAGGATATTTATAGTAGAAGTCTTTTCTGTGTCGGATACTGGTGATTTTGGTCTTGTGTTGTAGACTTTATATATGTCAAAAAATGGTTAATTCTGACATGAATGTGAGGATTTAGCACCAAGGATAATTTTCAATAAAGAACTGTAAAGTTGAGGTTAATGGATTAAAAAATATAGTCCGGAAACGAAACTTTTCCAAATACTTCAATCTATTCATAGGGAATGTGATCTTAATCTTTGACTTTACACATTGAACCTTGCTGAAAGGTTTTTAGTTTATGTGTACATTGCAAGGCATTATTTATGAATAAAATATTGAAAACAACACGTTTAATAATTAATAATAAATTAAACGCTTAGTTCAAACGGGAACCCCGGCGTATAGAATTTGGTCCCTGTAAAGGATGTCCGTTCCTGTTTAAGGTGTATGAATACGCAGTCACATTCGGTCGGAATGGGATCGTTAAATCAGATGAATAAATGATATAAAATAATCCTTGCAACACTTTTTACGAGGTCCTTAAAAGGCCTGTTGCAAGGCCAAATCTCTGCCCCTTTTTTTTACATACTCTCATTTTGCAATGACACACCAAAGTTCCCAC